CACAGTATCTATTACCTGGAATATTTATTACAAAGTATTTCTAGACTCCATGATGGACTGGAATTCAGTTATAGAGTGTGTGGCATGTAATACTGTGTGGATAAGAGTTCAAATGTCTACTTACTTATTCACAAGTCTATTTTAAGCACCAAGAAGTTGCCAGGTAAGGTTCTAGATTCTGGGGATTCAGCACTGAAAAAAATAAAATCAAGAAAGTCCGTGAACTCATGGAACTTATATTTTAGTGACTATATCTGGGTTTGAATCTTGGATCTAACATTTTTAGATTTATGATCTAACCTTTCTAAGCCTATGTAATTTTATCTGTTTAAAAACAGGGGGGAGAGAGGGCATGGGATATATTTACATACAATGTAGGCTCTTTCAAGATATAGAAATTAGATAGGCTAATAGTTCATGTGATTCATCCATTATGCATTAGCTCTTTTTTTCTGACATGTATATTTTGTTCTTTCATAAGCTTGCTTTACCCACCTCTTATCCCACATATTAGGGTTCATTTTGTTTTGGCCCATAATCCTCTTTCCAATCTTTATATATAAAAGGCTAATATGCAAAGTGTCCCTGCAGGAGTTTGACTAGGAGACCGGGAGTTCTATTGCTCGCTATGATGTGCACTAACCACCAGGGATGGCGCAGAACAAAGGAAAGCCCCAACTGGCAGCCAGCAGCTGGGAAAAGGAGGCCCCAGCCAGCAGCCGGAAGGCCCCGATTGACCCTAATCGCTGGTTCGGCCTAGGGACCCTACCCATGCACAAATTTTGTGCACCAGGCCTCTAATTTATTACATAAAGCACAAGCTACACAATTTTAGTATTTGCTCTCTTTTGTCATTCAGAAAAGTTTTTGAGTTTGTATCCATACTTTTTTAAGTATGAATCAGAACTTAAACCACAAAAGATATAAAGATTCTTCATCTTGGAATAAATTGAGAATAGTAAAAAATATGAAAATAACTAGATTTCACTTTTCTTTGTAATTTTTTATCCAAACTCAAATACGTTTTTCTTCCCCAAATTAAAAGTTTTAAAATGAAAAAAAAATCTCTCTCACTCGCTCTTGCTCTCACTCTCACTCTTTCTCCATTAGAAACTAAGAAGAGCCCTGATCGGTTTGGCTCAGTGGGTAGAGCGTCAGCCTGCGGACTGGAGGGTCCCGGGTTCGATTCCCATCAAGGGCATGTACCTTGGTTGTGGGCGCATCCCCAGTGGGGAGTGTGCAGGAGGCAGCTGAATCGATGTTTCTCTCATTGATGTTTCTTCCTCTCTATCCCTCTCTTTCTCCCTTCCTCTCTGTAAAAAATCAATAAAATATATTTTTTAAAAAAAGAAAAGAAACTAAGAAGAAAGGATCTTATTCAGATCTTTACTATATTTCTGGTTCATATCCAGTAGACATGAGTAGAAAGCATTCATCCAACCAATAATTATTGAGCAACTATAAAGTATCAGATACTCTTCCCAACTCTAGGGAAGTACTGGCTCCTGCTCTTGTGAAGCTTGCATTCCAAGGTATGAAGCACTAGTTCTGCTGCAGCTACTGGGGTAGTGATAGTAGCCTACGTGTGAATACAGATGTTACAGAAGATATTGGAGGTAATCTAGACACTGCCCAGCCTAGTAGAGAAATCTATATACTTGTCTTTCATTCCACCTTTTCTTTTTCTTTTTCCAAATATGTTTTTATTGATTTCAGAGAGAGGGAGAGGGAGAGAGATAGAAACATCAATGATGAGAGAGAATCATAGATTGGCTGCCTCTTGCACGCCCCCTACTGGGCATGGAGCCCACAAGCAAGGCATGTACCCTGACCTGGAATTGAACCATGACCTTCTGGTTCATGGGTCAATGCTCAACCACTGGCCAGGCAATTCCACCCTTTTTTGGATGCCTTCAGCAACAGGGCACTCAGTATTTCACCCTTTCCATTTTAAATAGGTTCCAACATTAAAAGTTCTCATATTTATTCTGGCTTTTCCAATATTTAAAGGTAGCTTTATACCTTTTCTTCAACTTTCACAGTGACACAGCCCCTAAATTGAGCTAAAAACACCCAATCTTTTATTCATTCTAAATGTAATATTGTTATCAATATTGCCAATATGACTCCAAGATTCATAACTATTTAAAATGGTTTCTACATATAGACTGGCTCAGAATATAGTGAACCATTTCTTCTTATTTTGGTTCAAGCATTTCATGGTTGAAATAATCCTAAATGCCTTGGTCATCTTAACTATTTGCTTTATATTAAACCTTTGTGTCCATAGAATGTTTCTGATCATTATTACTCTATGGCCTTACAGCTAAATCTGAGGGATGGTGAAAGCAGGTTAAGCCGGCAAGACCTTGTGATTTTATATCATTTCTTGAGATTAAGTACAGAGTTACATGACTTAATGATTTGCATTTTAATTTATCAAAATTTAGAACGTCCTTCAAGTCCAGAGCCAAAAGTAGAGTTTCAAGCTTACAGGAAACCAAACAGTTCTATAATCATTCAAATAAAATTGCTGGCACTGTACTCATGTGAACAAGAACATTATATTAATATATTATTGTTATGCCATTTGAAATATGGATGTTTCCTGGCAGGTAGGCTACAAAAACAACAGATTATACCTAAATATTTTACGATTTCTTGGAGAAAGCTGATTTCTTTCATTTATATCCTGAATATTTGTTTTATATAAATAAATTTTTATTCCATTCAGTTGAAATAATTTGGAAGTTATTGGATATGCTGAAGAACTTGGTTTCTAAACTTTTAGAAAGATCCAAAAAGTCTCAGATCACCTCATTATAATCAATGATCAACATTTATTCATTATAAAAGAGAAAACAAATACTTTGTACCACCATATATATATAACTTAATATATATGCTCCTTTGAAAAATTATAAAACATAATTAAGTCTTTATTTCTAACTACGTTTTTTTCAAAAGTAGGGGGATTCGAAAATTTGGGATATGGCGCTAAGTAAAATTATGCCATTGTTGAACCCACAAAGTAAAGGACATATAAAAATGTACAGAAGAAGGAAAAAGTAGTTTTCATATATGCATGACTATCTGTTTAAGAATTACAGATATAACAGCAGTCAAAAGAAATTTTAGAATTCAATAAATGTTTAGAAACTTAAGACAATTAATGAGTTTAAATTTTTTAATTTTGAAATTCTTATTTAATGAGAAATAAAAAGCTAAAATAATGGCAATATTAATTATAGTGTTTACAAAGGCTTTGGAATTTTAAATATGCCTGGGCCTTCTTAAAGCACATAAAATTAAAATGATGCAGTCACAATTTGTTTCTTAACTGTTTTATATTCAGTAATTTTTAATGAAGCAACTAAATTAGGCATAACTTAGTACAGCTTTAATGCAGTTGTGATGAATCTATTTTACTTGATTAAAAATGATAAAACCAGGGAGCCTTAAATATTATCTTAAAAGATTAACGACTGTGTCAATTACAAATCTAGATGAAAGGTATTTATAAGGGAATAACTATTCTGAACAGTAACTTCCTTTTGTTCATTTCATTTAATTAAAGACTCAATCAACTTTCATTCTTAATACTAAAATTTTCCTAAATTACACATTGGCCGGGCTAAGTCAGTTTAACACTAGTGAAGATTCAGCAAGTAATCCATTTTTTATTTAATCGGGGTAGGTAATGAACTACTTAGCAGTTTAGAGCGATCTAATTAACTAAATAATCACCAATTCTACATTGCATTTTGTGTTACATGACATAATATGAATAAATGCCTAGTAAAAATCAAATTATACGGGAACCTAAATGATGATGAGGCCTGCTCTGCTAACAGGTACACTGAGTAGAAGCCTCAATTCCTTAAGACTGAGTCCATGAAGCAAATATTTTTATCTGTCTTTTAGGATGACCAATTGACCAAAGTATTTACAAAGTTTCCAATTGTAGAAAACAGATGTGATCATCTGTATGATATGTTTATTTTGTCCAATGAAAGGGGGAAATTTGCAAAGGAACAGTTTTTATCTATTTACCTAAGGAATACAAATAACTTTGCCTACGTTTAATTGCCAACCTCCTCTAAATTGGTAAATGTCTTCTCGGAGCAATTATAATGAGCAATTCCTCCCTCCTAACGCCCTGCACCATGATCAAATAAACAGCACCACACGATCAAACCTTCTGGCCTCAGCCTTTTGCCTTCTCACTAAGGTAGCCACACCTGCAAACTGGGGCTATTATCCTTGAGTTATGTAGCCCCACATCAGGAGATTCTCCAAATGCTAATACAAATCCATTTCTTTGGTGAAAGAAAGCATTAAAATGTTCATTTATCTTTAAAAACAGAAGAGATCTCAGAATTTTGGTTTTGCTTGGTTTTTAAGTTTGGGAGCAGGGAGCATCTGAAAAGTGGTTTTAAAGGAAGCAGACTGGGACTTGCATAGGACTGCATTTTGGTGGAGCTCAAAGTGAGGAAAGTTGATTTGCATTATGCTACCACTATCACGGAAGCGTCGTGCCCTGGAAACCCTCGCCAGACAGGAGGAGTGCACAGAAAAAGGACTGCGGAGCGCTACCGTAAATTCAAAACTAACTCTCCGAGGCCCACAGGCTCTGCCAAAGAGGGACGCAACGTGGGACCTGGGAGTCCCGCGTCTCTCGCCTCCGAAGGGCCGGCCAGCGCCCTCTCCCTCCTGCTGGAATCGGAAGTGAATGTCACCTGCTCATCTGCCCGACTCTCTCTGTGGGTCCTTCTCGTCCTCTGCACAGTGAGGACCGTCTCTAATGCCCATTTCCAGCCCTGGCCGCCTTCAGCTCCAGTGTCCTTAACCCCCGCCCCTCGCCACCAATCTGGTCCCCTCCCCCGTGGTCCCAGCCCCTCCGAGCACTACCGCGCGCTGATTGGCCATGGCGCTGACAGGAGGCGGGGCCTGGAAGTCCCGGCCAAACCCGCCCCCGCGTATAAGCCCCTTCTGGGCTCTCTCTTTCCATCTCTCTCCTCTCTCTTTCTCTCTCGCTCCCTTCCTCCCTCTAACCGAACAGTGAAAATTCACATTGTGGATCCGCTAACAGGCACAGATGTCATGTGAAAACGCACATGCTCTGCCATCCACACCTCCTTCCTTTTCTTTCTGTTTCCTCTTTTTTTCTGCCCCTTGATTCTTCTCCCTCTTCTTTGTAACTAACAAAACCACCACCAACTCCTCCTCCTGCCGCTGCCCTTCCTCCTCCTCCTCAGTCCAAGTGATCACAAAAGAAATCTTCTGAGCCGGAGGCGGTGGCATTTTTTTTTTTTAAAGCAAGCACATTGGAGAGAAAGAAAAAAAGAAAAACAAAAGCAAAACAAAACCCAGGCACCAGCCAGGCAGCACATTTTTTTTTTCACCTTTCCTGAAAACAAACAAACAACCAAACAACCATCAAAACAGTCACCACCACCATCATCAAAACTGTTAACCAAGCAGCGGCGGCGGCGGCAAACGTCACCCTCCGGCCACGGCGTCCGCCTAAATGGTGTTCTCAGCGGAGCAGCTCTTCGCCGACCACCGTCTCCACTCGTGCTGAGCGGGATTTTGGGGCTCTCCAGGGTTCGGGCTGGGAGCAGCTTCATGACTACGCGGAGCGGGAGAGCGGCCACACCATGCGAGGTAAGCGAGCCCGCGGCCCCTGGGGCTCTATGGGCACCGAGGCTCCACGGGTCCGGCCGACTCCCGCCAGATGGGGAGCCGGGGTAGGGGCGTGCACCCAGCCGGAGGGTACGAGGTTGGCGGGACGCAGCCCGGACTTCGCGTGCTCAGGTGGGCTCCGAATGGCCTGGGCGTGGAAAGTTGTGGGGAGGTGTTGTTGCCTCTTGGGAGTTCTGGAGGGACGCGGGAGGGCGCTTTTTGGAGAGGGGAGCGACTCCAGTTGCTCCTTCCCAGCCCTTGAGTGGCACTGAACATGTTTGCTAGTAGCTCTCGGGGCGGATTCGGACGCGGGATGGAGGGAGAGCCGGGAGAGGGTAGATTCTCTTTG